TTAACCAGTGACCCTAGTGCACTGCTCCTAAAGTCAGACACTCCTCTCCTGTGTGAGCAGTACCATTGAGGCCTTCTAGTATTTTACTATTTAATGCGATAATTCCTCATCTGAAGTCCATTTTCTCAGAAGACGAGTTGCAGTTTACAAATTGGCAAACTATTGATATAACCCAGTCCTTTTTAAGAACCTCTGCATTTAAACAGACATTGTACTGCGGTGGTTTACGTAATTCTGAACCGCGTCTGGGAGATTATCAGGTTTAGCTATGTCAAACAGTTCAAGTTTTGGCATCGGTAATATACATGAAAAATCACATTGTACTGAATTATAATAAGTAGCACTTTTGATTTAAAGGGTGTTCTGTGGAGTGAAACACACCTAGGAAGGTTATAGATAATCGGCTTAGTTTTAGATACTTGAATAGAAAAATCAAGTGTGGATGATTCATACTCAGCTATTTGGCAATTAGATTTTGTCCCTGCCTGACGATGATGACTGAAAACGCGTATGTTTGTCAATCTAACTTCTCAATTTTTAAAGCTATAAAAGAATATAAAACCAATGGCAAAATGATCTTGTCACATTATTTTAATGCTCATTTTCTAAAAAGTACAGTTTTCGCAGGCGGTTGGGAGGAGGCTTGTTCAAAAGCCAGCATCTTGCCGTGAACAATGTATCTCTAGATTTCGTTGCACGATAATCAATCCTACGCCCGGGGTAATCCTTGCTAGTCGACAACACGCTTTAGAATATGGTTGGGTTTTCTTGCTATAAGTGGACAAATGCAACTGTCGTCTTAAGTCAACACATCGAGCCCCTTGAGTGCCAAACACTCCATAATCCTACTGAAGGAAGTAGGTCTGCCCTGTGGTCAGCGATGGACATGATCCAATTTGCCTCATCCGAGGCGGTGAGCAAATGGCTGGCCATTTAGGCTTACGCTCGTAAAATACACTCACGCAAGCCTTTTAACTACCATGGCCTAAGATAATTCTCACGTAGCCCGTCTCGGGATCTATTACATTGTGCCGCAACGTAAAAACGCAAACAAGTCTCAGGGAAACACTGCTCCTACCTCCCGGCCATCGCCATTGTAATTGGCCACTTTTGATCCTTTTCCACGTTTCGCTGATTTGCGTGATTACCTGATTAACAATAATTCTCGCTGCGTCTGAACCACTTTCATCTCAGATATCTCTGGTAAAAATAAAGTCGGTCGACCGCCCTAGATACTCCCTGTCTCAGAATTCTGTCTTACGGGGGCGATGGTATTAGTTTAGTTTTCAGTCTATTATTTCGTTTATGAGTTTAATTTTATGTAAGAGCTTTCTGGCAGCACAGTTCTGGATTCATTAGGCGTATAGCCACTGCTTCTGCTGTTGCCAGCACCCGTTGGCGTAGGCCTTTGGAGAGATTACATCTTCTGTCTGACAGACTCCAACGCTGACACTGACGCCATGGTCAAAAAGTTTAACAGCGTGCATCCAGCGCTT